ATAATTTTTCTGCAACATTTATATTAGGATGTATTCAATTATTTTCATGTCTTGGACAATGATGTATATTTATTTTCTTGAAGTTCTCGTCTGTGTTTTTTTCAATGATGCACTTTTTTTAATATCTGCATTCTTTTCTACTGTTATGCTTGAAACATCTTGATATTGATTAACATTTTCTGATCTAATTTTATCGAAAATGGGTCATTGATTAAGGACAATACCATTTATTTAATTTAGCATGTTCTGTGTTGGAACTGACATGATAGTCACCTCCAGGATGAACTTGATATACCTGCCATATCAGGTCATCTTTCACGGCCAGCAAGTCGTAATGCTTTCAGTGATATGTTAGATGAAGCTGGCATTGCTAATTCCATATTTGTTAATGGATCAGAGTCAATGGAGAACTTGGATGCTGGAGTAGCTCATCCAGGTATGATTGGAGTTCAGAGCCATGGCAAAACCACTTCTAACTCTTTTGCATCTGCTGTGGGTTCGTCATTATCAAGAAGTACAACTCCTGAACAGCATTTGGTTGGGAGGTCTCCTGGTTCTGGACTTCCTCCTGTTGGGAGCAAGATCAGCCACATAGAAAAAAGTAATATCATTGGATCTAATGTCCAAAATGGGCATTCAACAGCTGTGCCTGAACTTGCTGAAATTGCAGCCACATTATCTGGATTGAGCTTGTCAAAAACTAGAAACGTAGATAAGAATGCTCATATGCAATCTCATATTCAGGCTGATTTGGAAAATCAGCTGAACTTTTCATTCAAGATGCCCAATGGTCATAATCAGAGTGTGCAGAAGAAATTCATTGACCAGTCCAATGCAGAAAAGCTCCCACTCTCTACAAACTATGTTGACTTGGCTAGGAAAAGAGTATTGCACCAAATGTTAATGCTTCTAGGATTAGTTCCAATGGGCAAGTCAACCTTCCCAAAAGAACCTCCTCTTCTCCAGATCTTTATGCAAAAGCGCATTCAGGACTTGGAAGTTCGGAAAGATCTGATGTTGGCCATCCCAATGTGAATCTTACAAACACAGATTTCATTGGCCACTTGCCTGGTACTTATTTTGTCAACCAGAATAAGAACATTCTAAATGCAGGTATTGTATCTTCTGGAAGCTTTTACTTTTTGTGGGCTGCTTTTCATTTTATAGATTTTTCTTTGACATGCTTCGTGGTATATTTTCTTTTAGGTTTCTCTGGTGATAGAACAAGTTTAAATAGAGCTCGAATTCAAGGGTCTGATCTTTTTCCGCTTATAGATGCTCAATATATCCAATACTTGCAGAAAACTTCTCAGTATGGGACACATGCTGCACCTAGTTCTAGTTCTCTGCTTGCTGGAAACTATGTTGGTACTTTACAGGGGGATTTGAATGGCCTTCAAAAGGCATATCTTGAAGCAATATTAGCTGAACAGAAGCGACAGTATGAACTGTCACTTTTAGCTAAAGCTGGTGGGCAGAATCATGGCTATTATGGAAATCCTTCGTATGGTCTTGGCATGCCATTTACTGGATGCCCACTGGAAAATTCTGTACTCCCGTCCATTGATTCTGTAAGTATAAAGAATGATAGAAATGCACATTTTAATTCAATGATGAGAAACGCAATAGGGGGTTGGCACTCAGATATTGGTAATAATGCGAATGGAAGATATGTATCATCTTGATGAATTTAAGAACAACAAGACCAGGTCCCTTGAACACGTAGATATCGTTGACCATGTTGTTGAATTCAGGTACATGTCATGGTGCCTTCTCATATTTTATAAGTGGACTTGTAATTTACCAAGTCTGATTCTATTGTGCAATGCAGTACGGATCAGTATGGCAGTCGCTTTATTCAGCAGAAATTGGAAACTGCTTTGATGACTGATGTTTTTGGAAATTATATCATACAGAAAGTATGTGCTTCATGGTGGTCTTTTAAATCCGTGAATCATCCAAATTATGAATTTATAATCAATTAGTCTAATTCTTGAGCTGGATTTGCAGTTTTTCGAGCATGGTACAGAAAGTCAAAGAGCAGAGCTAGCTGGTCAGCTTATTGGTCATGTCTTGTCTCTCAGTCTTCAAATGTATGGTTGCAGAGTGATTCAGTAGGTGCATGGACTGTAATTCCCCTTCTTTTTCTTAAAGAAAAAAATGTCATGCTTTAATGTAGTTAATTTTTTTAGTCTTGAGAACCGTAGCCTCCATCTTACGTTGAAGTCATTTTAGCTTACATTCCCTGGCTTAGTATACTGTACATGCTGCATAGAACCATTTTAATGATTCGAGTTACTGGTCACGTATTGGCTCTGCCTTTAAATATATGGCTGCAGAGTGATTCAGAAGATGCATGGACTGTAATTCCCCATCTTTTTTTAAAAGAAAAAATGTCATGCTTTAATGGAGTTAATTTGTTAGTGTTGATAGCCGTAGCCTCCATCTTATGCTGAAGTCATTTTAGACTACATTCCCTGGCTTTAGCATATTGGACATGCTGCATGGAACCATTTTAATGATTCGAATTACAATAGATATGGCTGTTTTGTTGTTTGGAGCACTTGAATACAATAGAATCCTAGTCTGTTACCAGATGAATTAACATTTTGCTGATTAATTTGGATGTAGAAGGATGGTATAGATAGAAGTTTCTATACCTGTGCCTGTTTAAAATATTTTTACTTATTTATGGCTTAACGTTTGAAAATTTTCTTTGATAACGGTATGAGATGAAGTCCTGCTTTATCAGGTTGGTGCACAAAGTTAATATGAATTGCTTGTATGTCCTTTCGAGTTTATGGGGTAATGAAAGGCTTGCTAAAAATCCAATGACTGTAGGCTTTGGAAGTGGTTGATGTGGATCAGCAGACTAGAATGGTAGCGGAGCTTGATGGTTCGGTCATGAAACGTGTTCGTGATCAGAATGGTAATCATGTTATACAGAACACTATTGAGTGTTTTCATCAGGATCGAATTCAATCTATCATTTCAGCTTTCTATGGCCAAGTTGTGGATCTTTCTACCCACCCTTATGGTTGTCGTGTCATTCAGGTTTGAAATTTACTGATCATACCCTTTCATTGCTGGAATTTAGCATTTATTTTTATTGATTTTACTCGCTATTCATGCCGACTGATAGAGGCTGCTGGAACGTTGTGAAAACCCAAGAAATCGTTATGGAAGAGATCATGCAGTCTGTATGCACTCTAGCACGAGATCAATACGGGAATTATGTTATTCAGGTATCCAAGCTTAACATTGAATCTCTGTTGATTTTTATTTTATCTGCCATCAGAGAATGAAGTTTCTGTTTTTGTCTCGAGTTAACCGCTTTACCTATTTGTGCATAACTGCATATATATTTCCTACACCTATTTGTGCATACGTGAATCAGTTTGTGATTAACATATTTTTCTTTCTTTGAATGTTTCTACACATTCTACTGTTTTGTCTTCGTTTCCAGATCAGATGGGATCTGTTCCTTATCCGATCAGTGCTCCTCTTCTCTTTGGATCATCTTGAAACGATGCCATGAACTCGATTTTAAATTAGTTTCATAGAAATATTACTCTTTATTGTACCCTTTGGTATATGTTATTTCTTCCATTTTTTTCTGCTTCCTGTTGGTCTAGCCACCTTTTGCTAAATGTATGTCCTATTTTGACCATCCATGGGATTGTATTTCTTATGTTTCATTGTGTGATAGCATGTTCTTGAGCACGGTAAGCCACACGAGAGATCTGCTATTATCAGCAAGCTTGCTGGACAAATTGTGAAGATGAGTCTGCAAAAATTTGCCTCTAATGTTGTTGAGAAGTGCTTGACTTTTGGTGGGCCTGAGGAACGTCAAATTTTGGTCAACGAGATGCTTGGTTCTACCGATGAAAATGAGCCGTTGCGGTAAGCCACACGAGAGATCTGCTATTATCAGCAAGCTTGCTGGACAAATTGTGAAGATGAGTCTGCAAAAATTTGCCTCTAATGTTGTTGAGAAGTGCTTGACTTTTGGTGGGCCTGAGGAACGTCAAATTTTGGTCAACGAGATGCTTGGTTCTACCGATGAAAATGAGCCGTTGCAGGTGTGTCACAATACTAATTTCCTTTTCCACATGCAAATAATGATATGTTGTTGCATCAAGCAATGTTCACAGGCTTAAATTTTGTAACAAATCATAAGTTCAATTGTTCTTTTCTCTTTTGTTGATTACATTACTCCAGGCTATGATGAAAGATCAATTCGGAAACTATGTTGTCCAGAAGGTTCTCGAAACCTGCGACGATCAGAGTCTCGAGTTGATCCTTTCTAGAATCAAGGTTCATTTAAATGCCCTGAAAAGGTACACTTACGGCAAACATATCGTTTCTCGTGTCGAGAAGCTTATTGCAACTGGTGGTATGTATCACTCTTTTCTTTTAAATTTCAATCTACAATATTATTTTTGCTAGCCATATTAGTCTCATTCATGCCGAACTTATAAAACTTGAATTTCTCAACCGCAGAACGGGGCTTAGGATTACTATCTATATTGGCATCCTCCTGAATAATCAATCTATAAACCATAAATGGCACTTTTTCTCTGCTGCCACAACAAGACTGCGAACAGATGCAGTTTGTACAGCCCGACATAAAAGGTGATAATAGCGTTCGTCATCTCGTCTCCCTTATTCACTGCAAAATATTTATATGTAGATAAGCATAAATCCAGTCAGTCAGCAGAATAAGATGATCGTTGTTGATATTTTATTGTATATTTTCCGCACTATTGGGAAAGAAGCCTTCACCGGTGATTGTTTCTAGGGTGTTCAAATCCAATCCGATCCAAAAAATTAACCGAAAACCGATCCAAAAAACCGATAACCGAAAAAACCCGAAACCGATTTAGTGTGTTTGGGTTTTTTAAAAAAAAACCGATCGGTTCGGTTCGGTTTCGGTTTGGAAATCCGGAACCGATCCAAACCGAACCGAACCGATATATCTTACAATTTAGTATGAATGACACCGTTTCAATTTTCAAGTTGAAACCCTAGCCCACTTTAGAGTTTAGACTCCGCCTCTTCTCAATGTTCTCATCCTCGTTTATTTTTTCCATTAAGCTTTCAATCAAGTTAATCAGATTCTCCTCTGAGGAAAGAAAATCCAAAAAAATCTGCTCTCTTGTTACTCAAAACCAGCTGGTATGTTACCGTGATTTGATTCTGTTTTGTTTTTCGAGTATGATTTGTTCTTTAATTTTCGAAGGTTTTTTTGTTTATTCTGGTTGATTTCTGTATCGTGATTTATTTCCGAGTCTTCTTTAAGCTTGTTTGATCAAATCTCAATAGCTTTAGGAAAATTGTTGCTCTGCTGATGATGATCTTCTCTGCTTTAATTTCTTTTTCTGAATTTTCTAATCTCAACTGCTTTTGATCTGAAAAAACCGAATGAGATTTTGTTTATTCTTGTTTGTTTGTTTTACGATACGGTATGAGTAACAAAAATTGAAAAATAATTCTTTTCAAAGGTAACATATTTTAAATTCAGAGTATGATTTGTTCTTGAATAAAATTTAATTCTTTACAGCATTAGTTGAAGCCTCTTACCAAAAGCTTCACAGATTCTCTTAGCGAGCTTGGAAATTTAAAGGTAACATATTATTACTTGAGAATTAAAATACTTAACTGAATGGAATAATAACAATCTTTTCTTTCGTTTGCAGCTCGAACACTTACCGGAAAACTATAATGGATCTGCCCTTTCACTTATTGAATCATTGTCCAGGTATATAACCTGCTACCTAAAACAAATTAGTAAGCAATATATTTTCTCTTGTGTATCTGTGAATTTTGCTGTGTCTTATGCCAAGTCCTTGTTCTGATACATTTCCTTTCTGCCCTTCTCAACCTTGTTATTGCATCGGTAAAGAGAACAGAAATTTGTGGAATTATCCTTGCTGCATCATTACAGGGCTGTCTGACGCTGTAAGACTTGTTTAGATATTTTTATCAGGCTGTTGTCGTTTGTAATGCAAAGAAGTAATATCCCAAACTGGTTGGTTATTGGGAGCTGATAGTGTTACTTTTATGTTCATCAACGGTGTTTATTCGATCGACATTAGCTTAGGATGTGAAATGGTGAAACTGTTTTTGAAAAATTAGAATCCAAAAACCTCACAAATCCAAACCGAATCAAACCGCGCTTAATTGGATCGGATCAGATTTTTTTTAGAAACATCCAAACTGATCCAAACCGCAAAAATTTATATTTTCGGATCGGATGAATTTTTAACCAAAAACAGATCCAAACCAACCGCGAACACCCCTAGTTGTTTCAAACGAATGAGATCAGATTACGGCTTCCATTTTTACCCATATCCATTCTGTAAGTAGACATAGATGCCATAGATTGTAAAGGAGAAGTTTGGTTGTAAATGCTTAAATAAACAAAGGTCGAGTCCCAGTTTTCAATGTTTAAAATTTTTGCTTGCGTAAATACCCTAAATTTTCGGAGCTCAAATTCCTCATCCGTTGATGAGATGATCCAATCGGAAGAATTTGCTCTTAATTTTAGAACCAAAGTGGGATCAAAGGGGATGGAACGTGCGAAGTAATGGTGAGTATTTGATCGAGTCGAGTAATATTTTCATTTATTTATTCAAGTTAACGAGATTTGTTTTATAACTTAAATTTTATTTGAATTTTTTTGAGTCAAATTGTATAATTTTTTAATTAAATTTAATTATAAATACTTATAATATTATGATACAATTTGATTTTAGTTTAAACAATTTTCTATAGTCGTGTGTGTATATTTATATGTTCATATATATATATATATATAATTTAGAATTGAAGGACTTGTCTCGTACTTGAAAATCAGTCTGTTTAAATTTTATTTTATAACTTAATTTGGATATACAAAATGATTTGGAAGATATGTTTTTTTAACATTAACAAATTTGACCCCCATTAAATGCATGGATAGGTGATCAAATGCATGTGACATCATGATTAACCTCTTCTTCTTTTTATTAAAGCCTTTATATCTTGAAATATTTTATTATACTTTCTTAACACAAACATAATCCATATCTTAGTTAAAGGAGTACATGGAATTTTAAGGTTTAATTTTATCAATTGTGAGTTTAATTTATATTTTTTGGTGAACTGGATTGAATTAAACGAGTTATTAAATTTAATAATTGTAATTCATTATAATTAATTATCTTTAATTATAGTGTTGTTCCATAAATTAAAAATAAATAAATATTGAGTTTAAGTTGTAAAATTTGTCTTGTATGTTGTTTAAAATTAAGTATTTGATATCATTAGAATGTTTGATGAATGTAAAATTTAAATGATAAATAATTATAGATAAATAAAATATATTAAATATACCATAATTTAGTCCTTTCATCATTTTCGATATTTTTGTAAAAAGATTATATAATTTTTTTATTAATTTTAAATTATCAAACATATTAGAAAAATCAAATCAATAAATAACATATTATTATCAAACATAACCTGAATAAAAAATTATATTAAAGAATCGAAATGAAAAATTATTAGTCTTTGTTCTTCTGGATATCTAAAATTTATTTATTTTTAATCCATACTTGAAATTTAGTTTATGTTTCATTTTGGTATCTTCCGTTAAAAATTTAATTGTGATGTTGACGTCTCACCATTAGATAATATAGTGTCATCATTGAAAAATAAAAAAAAAGACACGTCGGTAATTCTATTAAATTTTTAACGGTGGACATCAAATTAAAATTAAACTAAATATTAAATATAGTTTAAAAAAATAAAATTTAGATATCAAAACATAATAAAAGTAATAATTTAGATACCAAATATAATTTAACCTAATTTAATTAATTAATTATATTATATTGGGAAAATTTACCTTTAATTAAGAAAGATATTGTGAGTGTGGTATCAAATATACATGTGCAAGACAGTCCATATTCCATAGATATTTTAATGTGTATACCTTAGTGGGGGGCACCATGGGATGAGAAATTCCCTCTGTAATTAGGTATTTCCCTCTCCCTCTCCCTCTCCCTCCTATGAGCTTTGAGCTTTGAGCTTTGAAGTTGACTTGCCCTAGAAAGTGTAGCAAATTTTGAGGGTTGTCAAAGTTAAAGGAATCCTATCCCTTCACAGAGGATTCCTTTCTATAATGTATCTACAGACTCCACTCATTGCAAGGAGCTTCTCAATTTTATTTTTGGGTAAACTCCCACTTAGTATCTAAATTATTATTCTTATTATGTCTTGATACTCAAACTTTATTTTTTTCAAAATCATACTTAACATTTAGTTTAGGCTTCATTTTTATATTTGATTGATAAAATTATATATCTAATTTTAGATTGATAAAATAAAAATCTGTATTTGATATGCAAAAGTTAAATATTAAATTTTTAAATCAAATATTCAAATATCAAAATATATGATGTGGTTTGACATAATTTTTAAACACATTCATTAAAACGTTTTCATTATCTGATACAATAAAGACATAGTTTTTTATTTTTTCATTTATTTAAAAGTTAAAATGTAAATAAAATAAATACATATTTATACTAGAATAAAATAAACACACATTTATACTGGAATAAATATGTACATTTCTCAATTAAAAATAAATACATACTTTCACCGACATAAATATATCCATACCCGTACCACCTGTATGAAGATAATTTTTTGGATTTTCGTATTATATGAATCTAAAATTTATTTAATTTGTATTTAATTTGACTATTCAAATTTTCCTTTAATATCAAATTTAAATTATTTAAAATTAAAAAAAAACAAATCAAGAATTGCTAGGATCTTAGGTGGCATTTGGTTGGATGGAATCCCTTGGAATTGGTGGGAATTGGAATACAATTCCACTACTTTCCCATGTTTGGTTTAAGTTTTTTAACGGAATTGAAATCCCTGATGGAATTTAATTCCATCAAATGAGGGAAAATTAATTCCATCAAAAAATGGATGGAATTCAATTCCCTTGTTGGAGGGAATTGAAATTTGATCATACTACCTTCATCAATCATTTGGTAACTTATTCATATATTGAATAAAAATATTTTTTTATTATTTCGGGTCGGGTCGGGTTTCTAATTCATATATTCGGGTCGGGTCGGATCGGGTTTTTTTAAGTGTGATATTCAGGTCGGGTCGGGTTCGGGTATAGGGTGAAAAAAATGGACCGACCCGAAAATATATATAATTCAGGTCGGGTCGGATTAAGTCACTGTTTTTATTAAATAAAAATAATTTTTTATTATTTCGGGTCGGGTCGGGTTGGATTTCTAATTCATATATTCGGGTCGGGTTGGGTGAAACTTTATTTTTTTCGGGTCGGATTTTTTAAGTGTGATATTCGGGTCGAGTCAGGTTTTTTTAAGTGTGATATTCGGGTCGGGTCGGGTTCGGGTTTAGGGTGAAAAAAATCAGACCGACCCGAAAATATATATAATTCGGGTCGGGTCGGATTAAGTCACTGTTTTTATTAAATAAAAATAATTTTTTATTATTTCGGGTCGGGTCAGATTTCTAATTCATATATTCGGGTCAGGTCGGATTAAGTCACTGTTTTTATTAAATAAAAATAATTTTGTATTATTTAGGGTCGGGTCGGGTCAGATTTCTAATTCATATATTTGGGTTGGGTAGGGTTCGGGTTTAGGGTGAAAAAAACCGGATCGACCCGAAAATATATATAATTCGGGTCGGGTCGGATTAAGTCACTATTTTTATTAAATAAAAATACTTTTTTATTATTTTGGGTCGGGTCGGGTCGGATTTCTAATTCATATATTCGGGTCGGGTCGGATGAAACTTTATTTTGTTTGGGCCGGGTCGGGTTTTTTAAGTGTGATATTCGGGTCAGATCGGGTCGGGTTCAGGTTTACGGTGAAAAAAACCGGACCGACCCGAAAAATATATGTAATTTTACCTTATATATTTAGGAATAATTACAATAATACCCCTCTATATATAATTTTTTTTCAATTAAGTCAATGTTTTTATTGAATAATTTTTTTTTATTTTGAGTCGTGTCGGGTCGAGTTTCTAATTCATATATTGAATAAAAATAGTTTTTGGTATATTTTTTGGTAACTAATTAACATACTCCGATTGAAATGTATCGAATTATTACTCTATCTTTTGGTAACTTATTAACATATTTTGATTGCAATGATTTTAACTTATAATATTTATTAGCATGATTTTTATAATTTATTAAAATGAATTATCAATCAATAAAATAAAATTTTAATATTTTTTAATTTTTTATAATATATTAATACATGTAAGTTGTAAAATAAATTAAAATAAAGCAAAAAAGTAAGAAGGACAATTCTGTCATTTTACATTACTGAAATCAAATTCATCTGACATATATACGAACCATACAGAATATAAAATTAGATTCCAATTCCTACATATTTCAATTATTTCACAAATTCAAATTTCCTCATAAATATTTCAACGAATCAAACTCCACCTTACTATTTTTTGCACAATCCTACTAAAAAGTCATGAATTTATTCCTAAAAAAATATGTTATAAAAATTTATTCCATTAATAAGTATAAATAAAAAACTTAGCTTTTTATTATTCAAGCAAAACATGCTTTTCTGCCAGTCCCAACATCATCAACGAACAAAGGTCAAACAATTCTCAAATCTCAATAAATCCCATAGCCCTTTCTCTTTCCCTCTACAATGACGGCCAACACCACCAACGTGCAAACGAGTAATCCACCTCTTATAATATAAGCCTTACTTGGTACAAGCTTTGACATTTAAGCCTCTCCCAAAAAAAAAATACAGCTTTAAATAAAATTTAAACGAAAAAACTCCATTAAACTTCTCTATATCTCTCTTTTCTTTATATATTGTTTCTCTTCGTTTTCGTTTTCGTGTTCCATTTCCACTTTTTTCTTTAAAGGCCCTTTTTGTTTCTCTCCATCTTTCCCATTCCTAAAGAGAAACTCTGTGAAAGATAGCAACTTGACGTAAGAATCAACTAAGATCCAGTATTTAGATTTGGGTTTTTTGTTTTCAAGTTCAGAACACTTCATTTTGAGTCAAAATGGGTAGTAAATGGAGAAAAGCGAAGCTGGCTCTTTGTGCTTATTTACCTAGAACTTTAAATAATGATGACTATTGTTCACTTCCTTCCAGTGAAAAGCTATCTGACGCTGCTTTGTTATCTCCTTCAAACTCGGCAAGTATGGCAGCTTCTAGGCCAATGTCTCCTTTGTCTTCTGCTCATGGTTTTAGGTTGCCTAGAAGTTTCTCTAGAAGTGCAAGCAAATCATCCAAGGTTCGGTTCTCTGCCTTTTTAATGTTCTTTGAGCTGTTTGAGCTATGCTAGTGATAAATGAGGATTTGTTGAAGGAATTAAAAATTTACTACTTTTTTCCCTTTGGATGGTTTCTAGATTTTGTTTTGTTTGGTGAGAATGGAGGAGCAAAAATGATGTTGGAAGGGATTTCTTATACATAGTTGTAGGTTGATTGGTTTCTTGTATCTTTTTCCCTTTTTTGTGTTTGATTGTTTGTTATAAATTGTGGGGAGGAGAGATGAAGGAAATTAAAAAAATGGATTTGGATTTTGTTAGTTTTATGTGTTTTTGGACCTTTTAGCCTGTCTTATTTGTTGCTGGGAAAAAAAGGATAAAAATGAAGTTTTGGTGTTAATAGGCTTTCTATTGTTTGGCTTCTAAATTCTAATGATTTATAAATTCTTAAGGGTTACAGTTGTTTCTTATGTTTGGTTCATCAGAAAATAACTTGGGTTGGTAAGAGAAGGTGATGCCGTTTTTGGTATTTGGTTTTGTATTTATCTGAGAAAACAGAAAGCTAAAAGCAGCTAACTAGAATACCATGAATGGTATGCATTTGTCATTGTTATTTGTAATACTGTAATATTTTAATTATTGAGACTGATGATGCCTGATATTTCTACTTGAATAATAAAAATCTCTACCGTGGTATCATTGTAAAAGTTATGTTTATAGGTTGCCGGACGAAAATCTCTGTTTGTCTTGCAGCACCAATCATGTTTAGAGCTTATCATAATGTATTTCCCCTTTGAAAGCGATAGGGGTGAAAGCCTCTGCAATTTCTCAATGTTATCTTCATGATGTTTGTTGTGTTTTTTGCTGTGAATGCCTGTTCCGTATCTCTGTTTCAATCAGCTGCTGACGCAATTGCATGAACTTTGTTAAAACCTTTTTCTCGCTCGGTCGGCGTGTTCGGAAAACATATTTTCATGTTTATCCAGCTAGTACACCTTTTTCCTTGTTTGTGTTTAGGAATATGTCTAATTCAATCATTTAAGGACTGCAGTGTGGTCTAACTATTCCGGCCGTTTTTCAATATTTATCGATGATCAACTTGGTTTATTGACCTAACTAGTTGAACTTTGGATTTTTTTCATGGTTAATGCATAAATCCCTTTCAGGGTTTCCTTTTCCTCCTTGTGGACAATGGAAAAAGCAAAGCTTTGCTTGACGGCCTCATATTTGACTGTTAAAATTTCAACCTTTATAGCACATAATGTCATCAAAGAAGTATAAAAGAAGGAAAGAAACCTAAAAGCATAACATGATATCCTTTTCCATCGTGAAAGCAGTTTTCGGTCTTTTTTCCGGATTCATCGGTATTAATGAATAGTTGCTTGATAATTTCTCAAAAGTTACTTCTTTGATTCTTAGCTTTATGTCCCTTGTATTCCCTTTATTTGTTGGATACCTAACATTGACTTCTTTTTAGCTTTGCTAGGCTGATTAATCACTTCCCCCTAAGTAATTTGTGTCTCCTTTTGTTTTGTGCTACTTTTAGATATGGCCCAAAGTAGATTCATGCACACCCAAACCTGATTATTCCCAATAAGTTTTCACTGTTTCCTTTTAGCCTGTGTTATTCCAGCTCTTCATTTTCTTGACGTATAAGAGTGTCCTAGACTTATTCGAAGCTTATATTGTCTTACACACGCAGCCGAGTTCGAGGGACGTAGTTTTTAGATTGATAAAAGGACTGATGAATAATGATTTATCTTTTACTTTTTGGATCATACGTAATTTCTTCCATTATTGTCCTAGTGTTTGTATGGTGGCACAGTCGAGTGTTGTTGCAGCTATGATTCTTGATGCTATATTTTTCTAACAGATACACTGTGGGATTTATTCTGAGTTCTTTTCTTTTACTCTTGAATTCACGTTGGTGTTCAGGAGTATATGAGCTTTGCTTCAGATGCTAATTTTGTTTGTTTTATTTTGTTTCAGCAAATATGTTCAATATGTTTGACCAAGATGAAACAAGGAGATGGCCATGCTATTTTCACGGCAGAGTGCTCTCATTCATTCCACTTCTATTGCATTGCTTCGAACGTGAAGCATGGTAATGAAACTTGTCCGGTTTGTAGAGCAAAATGGAAAGAAATCCCCATGCAGAGCCCTGGTTTGGATCCTCCCCTTTGCAGGGCAGCAGCCAATCCTGTAGGCTTCGCACAAAATGATGCTTTGATGACTGTAGTCCACCGGTTACCTCCACCTCGTAGAGATTTTAGTCGCCGACATGTTGTACTATTATTTCAGGCTCCTGAACCAGGTGTTTTCAATGATGATGAATCATTGGATCACCTACCCATGGTTGCTGAGAGTATGAATGCCTTGGAGAACCCATCTGTCAGAACAATAGAGATCAAAACATACCCTGAGGTTTCAGTGGCACCAAGGTCCAGTTCTTATGACAATTTCACCGTTCTTGTTCATCTTAAAGCTGCTGCCTCAGCTGCAAATCAAAATCCGAACAGAAATCATGCTAGCAGCTTGCCACAACTTTATCAAAATCCCTGTGCTCCTGTTGACCTAGTCACCGTGCTTGATATCAGTGGTAGCATGGCTGGCACCAAGCTTGCATTGTTAAAACGGGCAATGGGGTTTGTAATTCAAAACCTTGGCTCCAATGACAGACTTTCGGTCATTGCCTTCTCTTCAACTGCTCGCCGGCTCTTCCCCCTTCGTCGAATGTCGGACGTAGGGCGGCAGCAGGCACTTCATGCTGTTAACTCTCTGGTTGCAAATGGTGGTACCAACATAGCTGAAGGCCTGAGGAAAGGTGCCAAGGTAATGGAAGATCGGAGGGAAAAGAATCCAGTTGCCAGCATAATACTTTTTTCGGATGGGCAGGATACTTATACTGTCAATGGTGCTGGTGCAAACAAGTCTCAATCGAATTACCAGTTGCTTGTCCCCCTGTCTATGCATGGGAGTGACAACACGGGATTCCATGTTCCAGTGCATGCTTTCGGTTTTGGTGCCGATCATGATGCTTCGTCAATGCACTCGATTTCAGAGATCTCAGGAGGGACGTTTTCTTTTATCGAAAACGAAGCTGTAATCCAGGATGCATTTGCACAATGTATCGGTGGTCTTTTAAGTGTTGTAGTTCAAGAGCTGCAAGTGGGTGTGGAGTGCATGAATCCAACTCTCTGCCTTGGTCCACTTAAAGCAGGCAGTTACCCGATCTGTGTTACAGCTGATGGAAAAACTGGATTTATCGACGTTGGAGATCTCTATGCGGATGAAGAGAGGGATTTTTTGGTGTCCATTAAAGTACCAGCCGAGCCTTTCGAATGTGAAACATCGTTGCTAAAGGTGAAATGTATTTATAGGGATCCCTTGACTAAAGAGATGACCACTTTGTATAGTGATGTTGTTACGATTCAAAGACCTGAAGTTGCTGGGCAGGAAGTCGTTTCAATTGAAGTAGACAGGCAACGCAACAGGTTCCAAGCAGCTGAGGCAATGGCAGAGGCAAGAACGACAGCTGAACGGGGAGATCTAGCAACTGCTGTTTCAATACTCGAAAACTGTAGAAGTTTGTTGTCCGAGACCATCTCAGCCCAATCTCATGACCGACTTTCCATTGCATTGGACGCTGAACTCAAGGAGATGCAAGAAAGGATGGCAAGCAGGCACGTGTACGAGGCAACAGGGAGAGCATATATCCTCTCAGGACTGAGCTCTCACTCGTGGCAAAGAGCGACCGCAAGAGGCGACTCCACTGATGGTTCAAGTTTGATTCAACCTTATCAAACTCCATCAATGGTCGAGATGCTTACTCGATCTCGGGCAATGTTACTAGGTAGTCCATCAACACAAAGGCTTGTCCAACCATTATGGTCACTTGGATCGCTACCGAAGCCGAGATAATAGTTTCCAAAAGCTGTTTTCTCTATATTTTGTAAAATTTTGTTTGTCGAGGAGATTTTGTGGAAGGATTAAGAAGTCTTACATGTGTAAATGAAAAAAAAATGGGAAGAAGGCAAAAGAAACACGGCAGTAGAGGAGAATAGGTAGAGTCTAGACTATTTTGTATCTTGGTTTGTGTTGTCGGGGGGTGTACATAAGGAGAAGTGGCCTTTTTCTCTCTGGGAAAATCTGGGGTCGTGCTTGTTTTGCTGGAAAATGATGGTGGTAAGCTTTCACCTAATATATGACTACCCGCGTCAGTTATTTTTAACAAAGCCCTATTTTAACCTTCGCTGATATGAACTCTCTTTTCAAGAAGCTGTTCAGCCCTTGGAACTGCAGCTTAATGCACAAGATATGTGCCAAGGATGACCTAAGAATGCTGATATCGAACGCCATCTATCACTACCGGTGTAACAATATCATCAACATATGCAACTAATAGGATCAGATTGTTGGAACAAAAATGAATTAAAGAAAATTTATAGTCAATATAAGACTTGAGTGGCTATAATGTATAAGTTAAGGTATCTTTATCTTACTCAGATTTTCTAAAATTTAACAGGAAGACTACTCAGAAAGGAGTGTGTGTGAGGCGATGTGGACTTCCCAAACAATGAAAACCATGGTGGAAGCTTCTGGACTGCTTCAGCCTTGGGTGTCACCACTCCGGGAAGATCGGTTCTGAGATTCAGGAGTGGTTGTTGTTCTGACTGCATCATCTTGTGCGAGCCGAGTGTCGAATTTTGAAACCAGAAGAGTGTGAGTTCAAACCTTGTTGGTGCATTCTTCCCTCCAGAAGCTTGAATAGTATGCCATCCATCTACGCTACGCTTGCCATCTGCCAGGACTAACTCCTCCGAACCCACTGCATTCAAGATCAAAACTAAATATCAGTAGACAGATCGACAAACGAACAAAATGCGGCAACTAAGATTTTCTTCATTTTAGCCTCTCATTTATTCATGGCATGTTCCCCCCTTAAATAGGGAAAATGAAAGGAACAAACACAAATATGGCAATGAGAATATAAGATGATTGACAGACAAACAAACTTCATTCTACCTTCAAACGTGAAATCTTCTATTTCCTCGGTATTGATTGAAAGAAACCAGCGTATGGACCTCTTTGTATCGATCTCCACTCGTGTGATTCTCTTATCTCCATTTGTCTTTAACAACTTCCAGTGTGGGAATATCGGACTCATCCCATCCCTCTCCGGTTTCATCAAAGGTCAAACAGCCATAGGTGACTGAAAAAGTAACATAATCAATGGCCTTGTGTCTGCTACATACAAACCCCTCTTTTATTTCCTCAACTTCCTTAGTCAACACTCCGGGAGTGAAGGAAAATAGAGATATGTAAGAGGTAGGATTTTCTCCAAATCTTCCTGTTGTATCCACAACATGCACCACCTAGGAACCATAAAGAACTTTCGTTACACCTTGATATAGGAGTTTAAGAATGCAATAGTTATACTATAGGTTCGAAACATACGTTCACGGCTCTGGCGGTTTCCTTGGTGAATGGCGGAGTTACACCGGAAAATACCGCAGCAAGTGACTGAGCAAACAGAATACAAGTTGCAAGGACGATATATGTTTTTGCACCTAACAAAGAGGTCAAGCCACAAGAAGAGAATAAACAAGCAATTCAAACCCCAATGTAGACATCTCAGCATCACTAACAAAAATGTCAATGCGGAGGGAAACCAAAGAAAGCATTTTGGTAATAATTGAACACCCTGCATTTGTGATAAATAAATACCTGGGAGATGAATATACGAGAGGAGATACACCAGAGTTAGGCATATCACAGCTGCAATAAAAGCGGAAAGTGCCACAGTCGGCAGCCACTCAGGAGAACTGCCTGGATGTCTACATAAGCATGTAAAGAAAGCCAGGTCATCGAGCAGAAACATTGAAAATTTTCTGCTTAAACAGACCAAACTATGCCAATCCAGCATATCAGCTACAGAAACTTAGCCAAGCAGGGAATCACCGACATGAGAAGGGGTTAGGATAGTATCTCAACCAAGTGGAAAACATTCAAACTAAGAATCATCTTAGAACTTTTACCTGATAAATCGTACACTAAGTCCGATCATTGTGGTAGCTAATCTAATGAATGGACCAGCCGAAACTAAAATCGGAATGGCCAAGCCCATCCACAGGGTTGCAAGTTTGAGAGGCTTTGGTAACCGACCCGAGGTTAAGGTTGCTTCCAACAAGCCATCTGAGGAATGTGGTAAAGAAAATTAGTCTAAAGCAAATGCCAGCCATGCTTCCACTCCACTGGGGCACAACTCAGCAATCACAACATGTACATTGTTCTTCTTAACATAAATAGGCCTCAGATTCATCCAAATAATGAAGGGTAATGTGCGAAAGGCAAACTAGTAAATGTCAGCTTACATGCAAATGCTGGTGGAACAAGCCAAACAAGAGCGAGGTAAGATGATTCAATTTTATAGTAAGTTCCTATAATCAAGAGAACCAGCCATTGCAGAGAACCAGCTATAAAGAGCCATCTTTCGGTCTCTAACTTGATCAAATCAGCTTGGATAACAGTTGACAGCTGTTTTCTCTTGGCATAAACATTTGATAAATATCTTTGCAAAACAAGATAGCCCAAATGCTGACCAGTTAAAGCCCCAAGAAAAGCAGGCGCAGCAAATAACCCCACAACCAACCATGGGATTGAAAGATACGGCAATGGTGATGAAGATATCAGAGGTAGAATGAATGCGGCAAGAGCAAAGAAACTTAATGAAAATATCCACATGAGGATAATGCTCAAACATGACAAGGCCAATGAAACAGCAGCTGTATAGTCACCCATAAGCAAAGTTGTAGTCCATATCATAACCGACTGAATTATCACTGAACTTTGAAGCATATTTGCAAAACGCTGGCGGTATGTAACCATATATTGCCCCTGAAATCAACAAAGTTTTAGCAATAGCATCAAAGCAGGAAAGCAGGTTCCGAAAATGAACCATACGCCAGAGATTATGAAGGTACCAAAATGTCATAATATACAGCAGTATCATGACTAGATTGTATGCCTTCAACTGTTGCATTGGCTTTTGAAAGATGAGAGGATGCTGCAATCTGAAGCAGGAAAGCAAGCATGTTTTCTCCAAGATGTTGAAGAGATCCTGGTTTTAATAGCTCCAACTTGTCATTCTGCACAAAATATTCAAATTTAACTATTCTGAGATAAAGAAAGAATGAGAGTTGTCAATTTTTACTCCATTTCCCTTTTTGTTTCTTAATTAGCACTTAAAAAGGATTCAAATGATTCAGTTTCCCCCTTTTTAGATTAATTACTTAGTTATACTAGGATTTCATATATTGTCTCCTAGACTATGAATTGCTTCCTAGACCAAGAATGTACTATTGGGATTCAAATAGAACTTTAAAAGTGAAAAGATAAAAGCAACACAAACATGCAAGCCTCCCACTTGTCTACACGATCTATGACAAGAACCGGGAACATTTAGATTCTCTCCTTGCATATCAGCTAGGCTATAAAATTCGGACATATAGCTCATGATTAGCATCAAAATAAAGGAACTTGTCTTATCTAGGAAAAGACCTAGTAATTCCTACTCCTCTGATCAGCGTAATAACAGATTGCATATCCTATAATTTAATACCGAAATGTAAACTTCCAGTTAAATAGTGAGAAAGAGGAAAAGAAACAGAAAGAACACCTTGGTGTGATATACTGCACCATGGTCTGTGTATGCAAAGTCGAGCCCCGAAAGACAAGCAACCTCTCTGTAAACTTGGAAATTTGTTGAAGACTTTATGATTCCAGAAGAATAAAGGTCCTACAGCATTGTATCATTTAGATTTGAAGGTTTCCTTCTAAATTTAGCAAATTTAACTACCAAAGAGAAGCACGATGTGAAATAAAAAGCATATAAAAATATGCACGCACATCTGAATACAAGAACACACCTGAGCTATGATATTACCAGATGGGTATTTTGCAACTGAAGCAAAGGTCTCAATAGCCAATGGATGAGGACCAGCCTATCGAGTAAAGAACGGAACACAAGTTGACAGGAAATTTAGTTAAGTATAAGCAAAAGAGGTAAGCTAAGGCAATGCTAAGTAATCTTGATTTTGATTATTTTGAGGTTCAGAATATATATGAAAGGACACTAAAAATTTCACATGGTAAATCAAACATCGTCAATTAAATCAAATTAATACACAAGAAGGATCTTTAAACATATCATAAAAAAATGATAGATTCAATGATATGCTTGATGTCACAACTCCGAAAGCACTTCAAATAATACAAAGCATCAACTTTATAAAAGGGAAAATGAGCATTGTGGTACAGCTGGTGACAGTCTATGTGTCTAAAGTTAGATTGGAGAAAACCATTTGAACTGATCCACCAAGGTTAAAAATATTTTTTACAAGCTAACACATGCAGTAACCTTTGATGATATAACTGAAAAATACGCCCAAAACAATACTATTCATTAAATCTGCTCAAATTTGTGGATGGAAAATTTTAAGAATTACCCTACTCTGATTATGTGGATTTACCAATCCCTTTGAACAAATGAATTGGGGGACCAATACTTTTCCCAGAGATATACCTGAAAAATGGCAGACTTTCCTCCAATACCCATGGCCTCGAAATCAATAGCCATACGAATGGTAGAACTCCAAGGATGCTGCAATGGCAAACTAAAATGTCAATCCTTTAACTCAAAAGTGAAACCAAATTCATACAGGTTATAATCCGAGCACTAAACATGTTGGACATATTTCTCGTGCCAGTGATATGTGTTGAAGAGAAAATGGATAAGACTCTTCTATCATTGATATAATCAAACTAGTTTTCTTATAAATCTTCGAGTCATTATATAGGAGAAAACACATAAAAGAAATATTATCAAGAACTAAGGAAAACCTAAACAACTGCATCCACCCAAACAAAATCATTCACCTTCAAGAAAACCATATTTAATATAGTTCAGGTTTCAAATGAATGCTTTGAAAACACTTCTAACCTGTGTTATAAAGCTATGAGCACCACTTAGACCCTCCTCCTCTCCAGTGTTAAACAAAAATATCACAGCATTCTTAAATCCATGAGCCCACTGCGAAATCCCCCGAGCAAGTTCTAACATAACAGCAACACATGAGCTACAATCACCAGCCCCTTCCCTGAAGCAGTACAAAGATGTTTTACAAAGAGCAAAATCATCAGAATGACC